TTCCCTCTCAGATGTGGCCAAATGTGGCTTCGATATACAAAGTTTGACCTTTCGAATAAGTATAATTACAATAATTTTTCGGTTTTAATTATTCTAACTCATTATTCTTTTAAAATTCATTATGTTCTCCTTTTTTATACATAGCAACACCGAAAACATCTAAAACTGCCTAATTAAATTCTTTCAAAAGGCTCCACAAATGTTCCCTTTCAAGTCTTAGATTAACTAAATAAAGATGTTTAAAGATAAGAATAAAATTAACTGGCAACAATACAAAGTGCTCATCCATCTCCCTAAATGGAATAAAAAATCAAATGTCTAAAAAAAGGTTTTGTATGCGAACTTTGTTAATGTAAAACTTGAATTTTGTAAGCAATTACGAAGGTACATTTTCTTTGATTATACCCATATCGTCGGGTGTGTCAATGGATTCATTATATCGAGGAATTTATATAATGGTAACATCCATAAGTAAAACTATACAGCATACAATAAATATAAAACACAGATAAGAAAGTAATATATTTTTAGTGTATCTTGATCACAGAAATAAAAATATTTGTAGATTTTTTCACACAAATATGTATCACATAAAAAGCTATTCAGTGCTATTAGATAAATATAATTATTAATGGAATTAATTATTTATTTTATAGAAATTAATTATTTTTATGTTATGTTAAATTATTTGTTTCATAATCATTATTTTATATTATTTATTATAATAAATAATTTGCCAATCCAAACTCAAGACTCAATGTCAAGAAGGTACCTATCAAATTCCACGTTCATTCTATAAAGGATAACATTCCTCGATCCGAATTGATCTAATTCGAATCTTTTATCTATCTCTAAATCCTTTTCGTTTAATTCAATTTACTCTTCTGCTTCACATTTTATTACCCTTTTCGCAACTAAATTTATTTTAAGAGTATGTTCTATTAACAAGGTTACTTTAGGAGCGGGAGCTTCGAATAGGTCTTTTTAGACATTTCACAGCGGAAGGTTTCCATATAGATAAGTCCTTTTATTGTCTTCTGTAATTGAAAGGTCCCCATTCCAGGCCTCAGCTGGCCAGAACTGCTGCGATATGGCACTTTTGTCTTCCTAATGCTCAACGATTTCTCAATTGTAACTTTTGTTTTAAAATGGTCTGTTGCTATTTATTTTTTTATGTTCTCATTAAAGTAAATTTTTTTTATCACGATTTGTTTTTGGTGTTCGGTTTTTATTTTGAGTTTGACTTGGTAATTTATTTGCGTGCTGTGCCATCTGATTAACAATTTTTTTTTTACAAAAAAGTCTTTATTCTTTTACAATTTTCGTCTCTATGTATAAAAAAAAATATTATGATTTTTTTTAAAAATATTGGAAAGAATTTGGTTTCATGGTGTTGTGATTGATGTTGCTTTGTTTAAATTTATAATATTAATGTAAAATGTATCACTGTTCTTATTTTAATCCCTAACAATAAATTAAAAAAAAAAAAACAGAAAAATGCCGTCGACTTGCATGTCTGTAAATTTTAGGTACTCATACCGATACGTGGCGGCTAAATAATCATAAGTATTGAAGTTAATTGACACGAAGAAATGTTTTTACAATGAATATTAATTTATAGATCAGAATTTAATTTTTAAGTTATATTGTTAATTTCTTTGGAAGATGTCCTCAATCAGCAAACTCATATTTTATTAAATATCAATTAAAATCGAAAAATACTTGTTTTGTGTATTTATTTTAAAGGGATATCGAATGATCCCCTTGGTTTATTTCCCACAAAGGCTCAATTTGCGACGAACGAATTCATTAGTTGCTTTAGTCGCCGCATTAAAATCAAGCAATTTTAACATAACTCGATAAAATCTTCAAAGTTTTGCAACTTTGTCATTACGGTGTTGCTTCATTCAAATAACATCTATATTTTTGAGACATCAATGTCTGTATATCAATGTATCTCAAAAATATTAATATTTATCAAGAAATTGCAAGTTTTCGAGTACTCATTTATATTTAGTCAAAATAATTTGTATGAAGTAGGTATTTTAAACATCATACTGTACAGATTGTGTTGATATTATAATTTTGAATGCCATCATATATGCAGCAAAAGTAATTTTGTAATCTCAACTGTGATGGGATATGTGGTAGTCATTACAGCAATTATTTACGTTGAGTTTACATTATATTTGATTAAATTCATATTTTTAATGCTACATATATTGATAAATCGTTCAATAAAAATGCTTAAAAAATTCACCACTCCAAAATATTGGTTTCGAATGCTTAAGAAATTCGACAGCCCTACTAGGTCTCAGGTAGCTCAATGGATAGAGCAGTCGCTTGGATTGTGTTCGAACCCATCGCGGATGCCAAGAACTGGTAAGCATCATAAATTATCAAAATATGTGTACATTTGGAGTCACATTAGCATTTTGAAAATAGACGAAATTTATTTTATGAAGAAATAGTCTAGGCTCTCAGGTGTTACGTTAATCCGTACGAGTGGTAATAGTTTTTGTGACACTTAACAGATTATTTCATCAGATTTTCACCGACCCCTTAATGTCACAATTGTCGGTAAACCACCATTCCTTGGCGACGTAAGAGATAGCATTTGAATCTAAAACCTAACCTAGAACTTACGAATTTCTTAAGCACTTTCTTATCTCTTAAGATTTTGAGCCTAAAGCGAATGTTGTGTTTCCCTCATAAAATATCTTGTAACTCAAATTTATTAGGACATTTACATGCACACGCTTTTAAAGGTAAAACAAAGACGTCTAATGTCACTTAATAATGACATCCTAATATGATAACGTGATGATGTGGCTGTTTTGTAACGAGCAGCAGTAATATCTTAATGGGTTTTACCGTTTCGCTTTCAGAATTTCCTTAGGGGGTGTTAGACGGTGTTATGTTTCTTGAAACAAGCATTTGGTTTTCATATTTGCATAAAAAGTTATTATATTTTATCAATGTTGCATTCACAATGATTTAAATTAAAAAATCCACGTTGTCCCTGGTACTCTGCGAAGGGATTCGAACCCACGAACTTATATCAGCAGTGCTATCAATTTTAATAGTAAATTCAACATCAGAATGTACAACGCTAACGCTGTCATAGCATAAAGGTTTAGTAAAAACGGACTTCAAAAGGTAAAAGTTATATTTAATTGAACGTCTATACTGTGACAGCACTGTGCTCGACGTTGATTTCGAAGCTGATTTTACTATAGAAAATGAAAGCTGATATTGTATAAAAAAGTTTTTATGACCAAGTTTCATTTCAAAATATAAAATAAACTGAGGAGCGATTTTGGGTCACTTGATACAAAACAAAAAACTCGATATATTTTGCTAACTAATCGAGGCAAGCAACTAAATTAATTGTCATTACAACTATTTTTCTAGATTAATTTTATATTGTCAAATACTCATTATACAATCCGTTAATTTACTGTAAGCTATTAACTAACCTCGCAAATTATTATTTCCAAATATGCCTAATATTTGCTTATCTAATTATTTCTTGTCATAGATATTTAAGCAGTTGGAATGTCCATAGGATGTTTATTTATTTTGTTTTTGTTTTTAAAAATATTGTATCCTACGAAGCATAAATGAATATACAACTATATGTTCTTAGACGAATATGACACGTGCCACGTCAACAAATTATTGCTCTGTTTCTTAGAGCGTGAAAAGGAAATAAATTATCTTTGCGACTTTTATAAGGATATTGTTCTTTTATTAATATCCGGGTAATATTAAACACTGTGTCTTCTTTTGTTTCCATCAGAAATAATATTAGTGCAATCAAACATTTGATTTACGTATATTCGCTTAAAGCTAATTGGTGTGTATAAGGTCACTTGAGTGTCATAGTATCTTTTAATTCTTTAATTGAAAAGCTTTGTATTTAACGATTAATCGTTAAATACAAAGCTTTTCAATTCTATTAATAGAGTCGGTAATGCCCACGGGTTGTTTTACACTAGGATTAAAGTAAATCTGAAATAATAACCTCCCTCACAAGAATGAGGTGTTAAAATAATATTATTAAATGTCTATTAAGAAATAAGTATAGTACTTATTATTTATAAGCGTGTTTGATTAGTATTATAAGGTTTTGAATATTTTTAGACGTCCAACATATCTTTTCAGTGACCACAGAACCTATTATGTACAGTTCAATCTTTAATCAGCATTTTTGCAGCACTAGAACCTATGTTGACTTCCTAAGTAGCCTCTTATTTGGTTGAATTTATAATAATATTATAAATATGCTATGATATCTAATAACTTTATGATGTTCGACTCTGTATTTTTAAAGAACCGTCTAATAAACCTTAAAGTCATTAAGAATACAAGAGAATTTTTAAACTCAATATTTTAATAATTGCTAAAGTTAGGGTATTCTCAAAATTAAATTATTTAGGTTAATTAAACAAGGGTAAAGTGAAATTAGGATTTTGCAACTCTGTCCGCAACAAGAATCTAGTTTGCAAATCAGCAGCCATTACCTCAGAGAGCCGGGGTTCAATTTTCGATGCTCAAATCTCATCCCCCAGGGTACCGTTAACTTTTCTTTGTAGAGTTGTGGCAACTTGTTGCGTCTAATATGAATAAATAAAAAGCCGATTTGAAATACTTTTTCACTGCCGTGTTAATTTCAATCTTTTTCTCATATATATTCTGTTATTGAATAATATAATACCTGAAATGTTTTTCCCCGACTTCGCATATGTAATTATCACCCGTGTATGATGTGCTTTCCTTAGGTGATATTTTTTTTCAAATCAGTTCTACCTACTGGATTTTCGGAACCAATTCGATGCACAGAAACAAACAACGAAAAAATAGTCAAATCATTTCCCAATCATTTAAAAACCCATATAAACATTACTAATAGTCCACTTAAAGTAAAACAATGTTAGAAAAAGTGAGAGAATTATTCTTGTTATCTCATTATTTATTCACACATGTTTTGTCCGCAGCGAGTGACCTTGAGTCGATCCGAGCGCTTTTCAATGAGAAAGAAAAGGAGTTATCTGTGGCGGTGGCGAAGGTCGAGGAGCTGACGAGGCAGCTGGAGGAGTTAAGGAGGGGAAGGGTACAACCAGCGCCGCCGTCTGCTCACGAGCTAGACAAACTGAGGAGAGAGCTTATGGTGAGTAATATGTTTGGTCACCTTTTAACTTATTGAGAAATATGTCGTAATAAATTGTATTTTTTATTTCAAACTGTAATAAAGTGTAGAGAAAACATAATAAAAAATCACGTTCTTAATGATAATCAAACTTAAAACAAAATATATTTATAGTGTATATAAATATTTTCACTGCCAAAACAAATGCTGTTCAATAGAACGTACTCGAAATGAGATCTATAATTATAAACTTTTAAACTTTCGCGTTGCATTATATTAGATTGTATAAGATGGGTATTAACGCGATAGATTTTGATAGTTAGGTTTTTCACCTACCTATCTTTGCCGACGTTTCGGCCAGGTTACACCACGGCCGCTGTAACCTGGTGCAAACGTCGGGAAATATAGGTAGGTGAAAAACCTACCTATCAAAATCTATTGTCTTAGACAATCTAAGATCTATAATTGTGGACAAGTACCGCGTTTTCCACTTTTAAGTCGCGTACATTTCACTTGTATCGTAGCTCTACTGATAAGTCGAGGACGCACGATATTCATTTTTCGTCCACATGGAGTCCACATGCAGATTTTCGTCGATACCTACATATCACACCACATATACCTAATAATTAATTGTTTTAATATGCCTACAACTGTGTAACATACAGAGTTTATTTGAAAATTAGCACTTGGCGATTTATTATTCAAAATTCTGTGCAACTTCTATCTGAATTTACAGAAATATTCTCACTATTCGTGTTTCGAATGTTCCGCGTCTTCACAAATGCTATGTTCAAACTTCCAATTTCCATTTTAGGTGGAAACTTTTCCAACTTGAACTCCTGTCCTGTTGAATACAGTTTATTCAGTATATTATCCTCTGTGATTCACTGCTGCAGAACTGCTACAAACTCGAAGACTAGTAGTTCATGATTTTTCATAAGACCTATGACGGTTAGTAACTTTCTCGTTTGTAAGTTCAATTTTTTTATTCTATAGAATAATGTATCGAAAAGGAAAAGAATACAGAAGATTAGTGAAATATTTTTTTTATGCTTAAACGTATGTTGTTAAGACCACAATAAAACATTAAATGTCACTGGAAGCGTCGAGGCGTGTATTTATGTCTCTGAACGCTAGTTGCCTATCTAGAGGTAAGCTCAAAAATTTCCCTACAATTTTCTTCAATCAACGGAGCAACGGTTATAGGTACAATTTTAACACAAACAAAACCTCCTTTTGAAGGCAAGAATTTGAGAATTGACATCAATGCTTTTGAAATATAATATATGTAATTGTCCTCACTTATGTAATTGTCTCCAAGTATATAAAAAATCTTTGTAACGCTATTAGTTTTACATAATTAAAGCAGCACATATCAATTTATAACGCATTTCAGTCAGAATAAGACGAATAACAAAAGATTATCTCGAATAGGCCAACAATACCTTTATTTCTTTCCTATTCAAATAAACTATACTTATCCATAGATACTTCAGTAACTCATTTTCAGGTTTCCTCTTAGTCTGGAAGGTCGGGATGTATTTAGCATAAACTTAGCTATACCTAAAGCGCCAGCCCGAACCCATGTCAACGTCGAAACCAAAAAACACGAAGGAAAAATTATCTTGCTTATTTGCCTCCTAATGAGATTAGGTCTGGTCCAATGGATTCTAAAAGAAAGTATACAGGAATTTGCTGACAGTTTAAATGGTCTTTCAGAATATATCGTGACTTAACTTTTCTAGAATCTCTGCTTTGCTAGTTACGCTAGGTCCGTATTTTATATATGTAGTATTTTTTTGTATTACATTTTTACCTAAGTTACTGTATGTAAGTGTTAATATTAAGCTATGTAAAAAAAGTATAAATAATTATGTAAGCATACGCTCAAACCCTTATACAATTTGTTTTATTAAACCTTTTAAAACCAGCGATTCAACTGCTCACCTACTGAGTTCTTAAACGAATATCATTAAATATGTACAGCTCTCATTTTCCTTATTAAAAATATGATTTGATTCCTAGAAACTTATCTGAAATATAGCCTTTTGCTGATAAAGTGTTAAGATAAGTGCAAAGTCACGAACGAATAGATCCCTCTCCCTCCTCGGTTATCGCTTGATAGATTGAAAGGATTGTTTGTGTCGAGACCCATAATCTCTAAGATGGAAACAGGATTAACTTCAACGTATTGATAAAAGGCCTGGGTCGGCAGTTTCTGTAATTGCTTGAAATAATTCATTAAAATGATTATTTCTTGTGATTCCACGAACAGAAAATAACTTTTGGACTGGTTAAAGTGCTTTATTACTGCTTATATATTTATGTTTAGTTTTAATTTATATTAAAGATGTTTTAAAAAATAAAAAAGTATTCTATTTGATAAATTTTGCATTCACAATGTTATACTGTATAATATTCTTAATGAAAAATGTTTAAAAGTCCACTTTGTCCCTGGCACTCTAACATGGGACTCGAAGCTTTCGCAATCTGAGCGACTACTCTAACCACTGAGCTACCTAAGACCTAACAGGCTGACGAATTTTTAAGCACTTGTTACTTTTTCGCTACTACAGAGTGTATTTTAATTAATATTCAGACAATCCACTCAAACAGCCAAAAGTAATATTTTTAGAAATATTTAACCTTTCGATAATTATATGTTAAAGAATATTTTTAATGAATGAATGCTTAAAAATCCATGGCCCACGATCTGAGAGTGCCAGGGAAAAAGTGAATATTTAAGCATTTTATTATTAAGAATTAAAAAAAAGTAGTAAAAAAAAAGAGAAAGTTTCCTTAAGCTCTCAAAAATGAGCAGTTGCTGGTGCTTAATCAGTAAAATTATATAGAAAACTCAAAATATATGTGTTTTAATTGATAGGAAAATAAAATCGTTATTTGATTGCCATTTATTATTGAGCGTTTACCGTTTCTAAAACGATAAAAGATGTATACGCATATCCCATTATTTTCGTGACTAACACCACGTCAGCGATGAGATAGCGGCCAAATGGGTTGCTCGCATTCTGACCGCGTTCCTTTACTCGATAGATACTCAATAGGATGGCTTTTCTAAGAGTTTTGTATTGTTTACTATTCACCACAGTTTAAGAAGTACCTACAGGAGCTTTATTTTAAGTACATAAGGGTTCAGGATAAAATCTGTAAATTATAAGAAGCAAATGTCCATACTTTGATAATATTTGAAAATTCTATCGGCGTATCACTGTCCTGCGACTCTACCGCCTATAGCTCATATTAACCTGTTAAAATGAATAGTGTAAGCCTGATTGATCAACTTTCAGCAGACCAATCAATACTGGTGGACAGACTAATGTGGATTGGCCCTCTGACAGTTGATCTGACAGTGACAGTATTCATTTTGACAAATCAATATGCGAAATATTTTCATTAAGAATATATGCCAGTATATAGAATTGTTTAAGATATATGTTAGAGCCGTTAGTGACTTTTCATAGTAAGTTTTCAAGTTGTCTTGTTTGAATAACAGAAATTTTAGGAAGCGCATTTGATTCTTCATGGACGTTGATTTAATATTATGATCGATGATAATGGGAGTTGAAAATTGTCTATTGATTATTCAAAGAGAAAGAGAGAAGGCAAAGATTGAATTTAAACCTCAGATTTTATTTTCAACCGGCTGTTTTCCTATTGCATATTATAGCCGATATTATCAGCGTATGATGTAGCATTCCAAGAGTGAATTTTTTTTTTAAACTGGTACTGTAGTTTCGAAGCTTATTTCAAACAAACAAACAATATATATACTTTTTATAATATAAGTTAAAATTATTTCACACATGTTTTTTTGTAATCTAAAACGTCTTTGACTATCTTGAAATTTTTAATATCGGTGTCTTGTACTTGTATCGTTTTTAATGCTATTATAATAGATTCACACCGAAAATATAATAGTATTTTGTTTTACTAAGCCGAAACACGAAATAATGACATTAATATGCAATTTCATGTTCCAGTGGAGTTTTACGATGCATGCATATTTATAGTTCCACTATAAAAGACTTAAAAGCTCATTTAGGTGATTAGAGGTTTGTGAACCTGGTGAGTGCATTAAATTTTAACCTGTATCTAATATCGTTAGCATCCTATTAGTGGTTATGAGATTACAAAAATAATTTTGCGCTTTTAAACCAAAAATATTTGGATTTTCCTGTTGTAAAAAATATTGTTTAAATTGTAAAATCCGGCAATAAAACTGTTTCTCTTTTTACTCAGGTTTCGAACCCAAAGCGTAAAACGAGACCTATCACCAAAACGGCCTGTCTGTTTGTCAATCTATCATCAAGCTGAAATACAGCTGATGACAGAGAGAACGCAGAATTCTCAATATTCGATTCCATCCATATTGAAGAAGTGTCTCTAGGAGATATAAACCCGGGCCTTTTTTACAATCCCGGAGTCCCGGTACTAGGCAAAGACAAGCCCGGGATCCCGAGACAGTCCCGGGATTTGAAGGTAACATATAAAAAAATGTGAAAATATGCAAAAATCAACTTTTATTTTTATTATTAAAACTTTCTTTAGAAATGGAAAAAATCTGAACTAAAAGTTTTCTCTTCTAAAAAAACCGTTTATATCCCCTAACTGTGTCCCAGCTGTGGGGACATAAATAGGCTGATGATGAATTAATACAGATAAACAATCTTTACAACCGATCGCTGTATTAATTTATTCGTAGACTATCCGTCTGCTATTAGCGGCGATTCAATCTCATGGATTTATGTTACGTCAGTCACTCCCATTCATTTGCAAATGAACACAAAGTATCCATGTCTCTCTTATCAGCTTAGCAGGATATAAAGCTGTGAATCCACCCTCGTTGATTCACTTGTTAATGACCTATGTTCAGAACGTACTTTTCAAAGGTGTTCCAAAGTATGGTATATTTCAAAATTATTGGCCTGTAAAGTTCATACATGTAAATGATATAAAGTTATTTTCGAAACAGTAATTACTGAAATCTATATCAAGTA